CCTTCCTTCCCCTTCCCCTAGCCCACCCTAACAGTGCACCCCTTGTTCCAAATTATTATCATATATTCATAATCTTATATTCCTTTCATACAGTTCTTCCCCTCATCTGTTCGCATGCAGTGTTCCTTAGCTATCCACTCTTCCCTCATTACCTCTCCAATCCCCCATGTCTGTTCTACTTTATAATGGTGTGTTATGTAGCATTTCTCCTTTTGTGACTGAGATAGTTCACTTAGCATAAGGTCCTCAAGGCTCCTCCATGCTGTGCAATGTTTTACTATTTCATCCTTTTTCAGTGCTGCATAGTATTCCATCGTGTAGACATACCATAGTTTTTCTATTCATTTGTTTATTGATGGGTGTTGTGGTTACTTCTGTCTCTTTGCTATTGTGAATAATGCCACAGTAAACATGGATGTGCATATATCTGTTTGAGTTGTAGCTCTGAGTTGTCTATATTCTCATTAATAATACTGTTGTTGTTGTTGTTGTTATGTGCCGTCAAGTCATTTGCAACTCAGAACGACCCTATGTACAAAAGCCCTAAACCCTGCTCTATCCTGTGCCAATCGCACTGCCTCTGACACACCCATCCTGATTACCCTAGTCACTGAATCAATCCATTTCATAGAGGGTCTTCCCTTCTTGCACCGTCCCTCCACCCTACCAAGCATGGTGTCCCTCTCCAAGGACCTGTCCCTCCTTGCAACATGCCCAAAGTATGTCAGACGAAGCCCCAGAATCCTTGCCTCCAAGGAGTTGCTTGGTTTAATCCTCTCCAAGATGAATCTGTTTGTTTTCTTGGCAGTCCAGAGTACATGCAATATTCTTCTCCAGCACCATAATTAATAATATTCCTCCCAACTATCAAGATGAATTTACCAAAAGAAGTCAAAGCTTCTATCCATCAGCAGAACTACTGAACCGAGGATGTAGTCACAACTAAACTCATTGTCATTGAGTTGAATTCCAACTCACAGAACAGGATAGAACTGTCCCGGATGGTTTTAAGGCTGCGATCTTTGTGGAAACCGACTGCCTCATTTTTTAATTGTGGGTTTGAACCAGTGACCACAGTTTTGGTTCACAGCTTAATCAGTGTGACACCAGAGCTTTCTAAGAAGAATATATATATATATTGTTGTTGTTATGTGTCATTAAGTTGACGTTGCCTCATAGTGACTCTATGAACAACAGATCTGAACCTTTTCCCATCTGTGCCATCCTCATCATTTCTGATGTCCTTGAGTCCTTTGCTGTACTATGTTAGTCCATCTCATTGACGATCTTTCTTTGACTGAGTCTCCTCATTTCCAAGCATGATGTCCCTTTGCAAGGAATAGCTCCACCTAACATTGTGCCCAAGGATGTATTGTTGTTGTTGTTGTTGTTGTTGTTGTTGTTGTGATGTGCCGTTGAGTCACTTGTGACTCATAGCGACCCTATGTACAACAGCCCTAAACTATACTCTGTCCTGTGCCAATTGCACCGTCTCCAGCACACCCATCCCGATTACCCCAGTCACTGAATCAATCCACCTCATTGAGGGCCTTCCCCTCCTGCGCTGTCCCTCCACCCTACCAAGCATGATGTCCCTCTCCAAGGACCAGTCTCTCCTTACAACATGTCCAAATTGTGTTAGACGGAGCCTCAGAATCCTTGCCTCCAAGGAGCCGCCTGGTTAAACCCTCTCCAGGGTGAATCTGTTTGTTTTCCTAGCAGTGCATGGTGCCCTCAATACTCTTCTCCAACACCACAGCTCAAAGGCATCAATTCTCCTTCTATCCTCCCTAGTCATTGTCCAACTCTCTGATGCATAACAAGTGATTGCAAAGACCATGGCCTGTATCAGGCGCACCTTAGTCTCCAGAGAGACACCGTTGCTCTTTGGTACTTTGGAGAGGTCCCTAACAGCAGACTTTCGCATCGCAATACGTTTTTTTATTTCCCGGATATATAGACAACAGAAAAAATTGGAGAGGCAGCTTCAGTATTGTGAGGCAAGCACAGAAAGTTAAATTAGGCAGGTGCACCTTGACATGTGCTTCCTCTTGTGACCATCTTTACTAGTTACTATCACTGAGACCTAATGGAACTCTGGTGGCCTAGGGGTAAGGAGTTGTGTTGTAATCCCAAAGGCAGGCATTTCACGTCCACCAGCTGCTCTGCTGGAGAAAGATGGGCAATCTCCTCCTGTGGTGATTTGCAGCTTCTGAAAACCTGCTGGAAGGTCAGCTAGGAGTTGGTTCTGACTCAATGGTGCGTAACAGCAGCATCAGCGAGGCTGTCTGTGACACATTTGTTTCATTTAATGTGAGGTCTCTCCTTTTATGACTTGACAGACAGTGAAGAATTGGCTCGGCACTGATGACTTAGGGATAATTCTTTGTTGGGGAGTTTGTTTAATAACATCTCTGGCCTCCATCCGCTGGATGTAAATTGCACTTCTCTCTTATTTGGGTTTGTTTGTTTGTTTGTTTTGTGTGTGTGTCAGATTTTTATTTAAAATAGTTAGAAATCAAGACAAATTCTGTAAGTCAAAGAAGTAAACTTCTTTCAGCAGAAAAATTCACTCACTTGTTTATATTAACTTCTTTGCTTGGAAATGTAATTTTTCATTTTTTTAAATTAGGAATATATTTTAAAAATGGATACTGTACAGAACTACAGCACATCAAACAAATAGCCTAATAACACCAAAATTCGTGCTCTTAAGTCCTGCTGACCTCACAATGTCTCAATAGTAGTCTCAGATTCTCTCTCCCAACCTTTTTTTTACTCTCAAAAGAGAAGGGCTCAGTAATCTCGAGTTATTGTGGAGGGTTTTTTTGAGTTATTGGGTTTTTAAAGTGTTGATACAACAAACAAGAAGGACTCTACAGTGGTAGAGGTGGTTCAAGCCAGCGAGACAAAGGGGTAAGATCATCAATCTGCTCTTGTTGGAGGATGGAGAGAGAACCTGTGCACCACAGATGACCACTGCTGCTGCTGCCTGGTGTTTGGTGAATGAACCCCTTGTGCATGAGCGGTCAACTGAATGTGGCCTTTCTAGGTGGGGAACTCTGGTGACCTAATGATAAGAAGCTGTGCTGAAATCCCAAAGGCACATGGTTCAAATCCACCAGCTGCTTCATGAAAGATGAGCAATCTCCACCTTGTGTGATTTACCGCCTCTGAAAACTGCTAAAGGGTCAGCTGTGAGTTGCTGTGAGTTGGTTCTGACTTACGGGAAATAACAACAGTAAGAGTCATAGTCTTGAGATCTCTGGTGATTCAGTACACAGGACGTTTTCTTGCTAAGTCAAAGGTCAATACCTCTCTGACAGGTTGAACCCACCAGTGGGAGAAAGATTGGCAATCTCTTCCCAAGCTATTTAAAGCCTTGGAAATTGTCGAGTCAACTGTGTGTTGGTTTGGACTCAATGACAATGAGAGTAAGATGGCCATAGTCATTATAACTCTCACCAAGTCACAGTGTAAGACTAAGTGAACTTAAGAAGCTTGTGACCCACCAAGGAGAGTGGATAGATAATAACGCAATAATGAAAAGGTTCATGGCAACTTCCTGGGATTATTATTATGGACACAAATAGATTCATCCTAGAGAGGGTTAAACCAGGCTGCTTCTTGGAGGCAAGGATTCTGGGGCTTCGCCTGACATACTTTGGACATGTTGCCAGGAGAGACAGGTCTTTGGAGAGGGACACCATGCTGGGCAGAGTGGAGGGACAGCACAGAAGGGGAAGACCCTCTATGAGGTGGATTGATTCAGTGACTGGGGTAATCGGGATGGATGTGTCAGAGGCAGTGAGATTGGCACAGGATAGAGCAGGGTTTAGGGCTGTTGTACATAGGGTCGTTATGAGTCGCAAGCGACTCGACGGCACATAACAACAACA